AGCCTGGTCTATACAGGGAGTTCCAGGCTAGTTAGGGTACATAGTGAGTGTCTCAAAAACACAAACAAAACAACAAAAAACCTAGGATGAACAAAAAGAAAACCAAAATTAAAAATGGGAAACTTAACCCCTAACTTAGTTAGGCATAGCTCCTGCCTATGCCTGTACTTGGATTTAAAGGCATGGATCACCATGTCTTGCTCAACAGACCACTTTCTTGAAAAACTAAAACTGACAAAATTCATTATGAAACATAATCTAAATCTTATGGTTACTAAGAAAATGATTTTGCCGGGTGTGATGGCATACGCCTTTAATCCCAGTACTTGGGAGGCAGAGGCAGGCGGATCTTTGTGAGTTCAAGGCCAGCCTGGTCTACATAGTGAGTTCCAGGACAGCTGGGGCTACAAGGAGATCCTGTCTCAAAATGACCGAAAAAAGAAAATATTAGGTGTGGTAGCACATGTCTTTAATCCCAGCACTCAGGAGGCAGGTTGATAGACTGCTTTGAGTTCAAGGCTAGCCTGGTCTATATAGTGAGTTCTGGGCCAGCCAAGGTTAGATAGTGAGACCTTGTCTCAAAAAAAGGAAGGAAGAGAGGGAGGGGAAGGAGGGGAAGAATGGAAGGAAGGGAAGGAGGGAAGGAAGAAAGGAGGGAAGAAGGGAAAGAGGGAAGGAGGGAAAGAGGGAAGGAGGGAAAGAGGGAAGGAGGGAGAGAGGGAGGGAGGGACAGAAGGGAGGAAAGGAAGGAAGGAAGGAAGGAAGGAAGGAAGGAAGGAAGGAAGGAAGGAGATTTTACTTTAAAACTACCAAGAATAAAATCTCATGTACCTTATAAGATGCACTTCTGGATGCCAGAGGACAAGATCTATTTTCTTTTTGAACTTAATTTTTAAACATTTATTGCTTGCTTGCTTGTGTGTGCATGTGTGGTGGTCAGAGGACAACTTTGCAGGAATCAGTTTTCCTACCAACAAACTCAAGTGGTCAGGCTTGGTGTTAGGTGCCTTTACCCAACGAGTCATCTTGCTAGTGCCCAAATTATTGTCATTGAAAATTCTACCAAACATTTAAAGAAGAATGAACATCAATTCTACAGAATCTCTTCCAGGAAACTGACGATAAGAGAACACTTTCAAATTTATTCCACAAGGCTACTATTATCCAAAACCAATAAATACAAAACAAGGGAAAAAAATAACCCCACAAACATAGAGACAAATTTCTCATTACAGAATACATAGCAAAAGAATCCCTGAGAAAATATTAGCATGCACAATGAATAAAAAATGAATAAAAGACACCACGGTCAATTAATGTTTATGCCAGGAAGGCAAGGCTGGTTCAATATACAAAAATGAAAGTATATAATCCGCCAAAATTAAAAATTCTCAGAAAAAAATAACTGGATGGGACTTCCTCAATTTGATAAAAATACCTACTTCTCACCTTGTTTGTGCTTAATAATGAATACTAAACATTTCCTTAGATTTGGAGCAAGAAGGGATGCTTCTCCTATGTGAAGGCTGGGAGTTGAAGGTTGCAATAGGGCAAGACAATATACTGGACAGGAAGAAATGAAATTTCTTCATTTACAGGTGACATGATTTTCTTAGTAGAAACAAAATCCCAAGAAATGTATTAAAAACCCACAGAAAGGGCTAGAGAGATGGCTCAGCGGTTAAGAGCTGTTCTTGTAAAGGACCGGGTTCGATCCCCAGCATCCACATGGCAGCTACAAACCGTCCTTAACTCCAGTACCAGGGGAAATTCAACGCCCTCCTCTGATGTCCACGGCATTGCATGACATGGCTGTACTCACATACATGCAGGCAATACACTCATACACATAAAATAAAAATAGTATTAAAAAAAAAACACAGAAAACTCAACAACAAAGGCTTTAAGCAATAAGACGGCAAGACACAAAACAACCACATAAAAGTCCACTCTATACATTAATGAAAAATGTCAAAGGCAATATAAATAGACAAGGGGTGTATTATCTATTGAAAAGATTCAACACAGCAAAGATACCAATTCTTCCCAAGCACAGCAAAAAGACACCAACTCTTCTCAATTTGGTATAAAATTTTTAAAAATCCCAAACAAAAAAAATTCTAAAATTTATATAGAAAGGCAAAGGAAAAGAACCCTTAAAAAAGCTAAAACAATCTTGAATACTAACATAGAAGAGACTGTCTTATTTTAAAATCTTGGAGAACTACTGTATCTGTGTATTGTTGGTAGAAAGAGATAAATGATGGACAGAATAGTGAATCTAGAAACAGACCATAAAGATATGCAGAAATAATTTTGACAAAAGTGCTAAGAAATGAATCACAACTACTGAGCATCCACAGGGAAAAAAAACAGAAGGTGTTAACTAGTCTTTGTATCTTTTTAACACTTTAAACTGAAAAACATAAAATCTGTCTAACAAAATAGAAGACCTAGAACAGGAGTTCTCAGATCTGATACTAAAAGCAAGTTTGTGGAAAGGAAAAATTAGAAACTTAATTAAAATTAGAAACTTTTGTTTTACAAAGACAAGATATATACTGGGAGAAAGCATGTTTAAACCACACATTCAACGAAGGGCTGATACATGAATGTCTCCCAACTCAAGGGAACACAAAACAACATGAGCAAACACAGAGTGCTTCTTAGAGAAAGAAATAGAGATGATGCACATGAAGGTAAGACCATCTTTAGATGGAAACCATCTAAAACCAATGACTTCTAAGAGTAGAAACTAAAACCCCAAGGAAGATAAAAACTATCAACAATGGAGCTTGCAAGATTGTTCAGGAGGGAAAAAAAAAAAAAAAAAATCCCCAAACTGACAAAAACAAATGCTAGAAGATGCCCCTTTGGAACCAGAAGCTAAATAAATTCTTCCTTCTCTAAGTTCCCTTGGACATGGTGTTTTATCACAGCAACAGAAAAGTCATTAATACAGTTAATACTTGTCTCTCTGTGCCTGGTTTATTTCAAGAAATGATCTGTACCCTCCTTGACTGTGCTACTTGTGATAATGCACTACAGTTTTGAAAGACGCTACCCTGGAGGAGATTATATATAAATCTACAAGTATGTCAAAAATGTCTTTAAAGTCAACAAATATCTAGTCATCGTAGCTCTACCTTTCACTATATCACAATTTCTGAGGAACATGGAAAAATGTGAGGAAAAAAAAAGTAAAGCATGCTAGGCCTGTGTAATCAACTTTCAAAGAAGGCAGTTTGTGAGATTCTGGAGGAGGGTGGATAAAGCAAAGAGGATGAACGTGAGCTGAGGGACACAGACCACCTCACTCCAATCACAAGAGTCCTGACAAATCATACACAAGTTTTCAGAGAATGAGGCTTTAAGAAGTAGCTGGCACAGCATTAGAACTCAAAGTATAACCTGCAAAAGCTCAGAAGGACATCAAAATTTGTCCAAAAAAGAAGACTACTATGACAACAGGCATTAATACTGTTCAACAGGCAGAGATAAACACAGGTCTCTGACACTGCATCTCCGAGGAACACTGAAGAGTAGATGCAAAGGGTCAAACAGTAAAAGGTCTTTTTGAACTGGGAGAACAAGGGATTATCTCCCAATACTCTTTTTTCATAGGATTTTATGCAAATTAGTTTGAAAAATTTTGACCAATGACCTGTTTGCAAGTCCTTAATAAATACAAATTACTGTTTGTAAATTATAATGTGAAGTTATAAAACTCTGAACAGGAAAAACATACAACAGTAGCTTTCTCTGACATGCAGTGGACTTTAACCATTTGCAAAGTTGATTACTAAAAATGATTAAATATATAAACATATATTTCTATCTTTCATTTTTAAATATAGTTTTTATGATGTACCAAATTGACTTATAGGAATAAAATTTCACAACTATCTTTTAGAAACAAGAATGCAACTCTTAAAGAATCTATCCAGAAATCTTTGCTTTAGGAAACAACTGTACATCAGACTGTCCACACCATCCTAAGACTGGCTGAAGAATCAAATTACAAAACGTGCAAGACTTGATATACCATTAAAATGTGAGTTTTAGTCTTTCTGGCTTAAAACATTTCACAATAGTCTCTACTGGAATATGTATGCCTCCCCAAGTTTCTAATATATTAATCAAGCATGCATAAATCAAGCAAAAGGGGCTGGAGAGATGGCTCAGCGGTTAAGAACGCTGGTTGTTCTTCCAGAAGATCCGGGTTTGAATCCCAACACCCACATGGCAGTTAACAACTGTCTGTAATTCTAGTCCCGGGGGATACGACAGCCTCTTCTGACCTCCGCGGGCACTGCATGACACGGGTGCACTTACCTACATGCAGGCAATACATGCATACACATAAAATAAAAATAATATATAAAATTTTAAAAAATCAAGTGAAAGAAAGAGAAAAAGAAAGCAAGGCTCAAAAACATGACTTTTTTATTACTAGCACAAAACAGATCAAAAATTTCTACTTACTGAGGAAATTTTCTCATTATACAGGAGGCTGCACTTTAATTTGAGCATAAGAAGAAAACTATATAACAAAATCAAATAAAATATGGCCTAATGAGCGGGGTGGTGCACACCTTAAATCCCAGCACTTAGGAGAGGTAGAAGCAGACAGATCTTTGGGAGTTCAAGGCCAGCCTGGTCTACATAGTGAGTTCCTGTGAGGACAGCTGGGGCTACAGGGAGGCCCTGTCTCAAAAAGACCAAGAAAAAAAAAAAAAGGCCTAAGGAATGTACCACCAGGACACATTAAAACTGAGGTTAGAAAAGCAGGCAGAGGCCAGGAACAAAGAAAGAACACAGTCTGTTAAGCTAGCCTTCAGCTGAATAGTTACACAACACTAAGATGCATCTAAACCAATAAAATCTGAGGTGGTGGGACTGTAATTGTCCCCAAAAATCCCCCAGCGAAGAATTCTCTCTAGGGCTTCTTTGGATTCAAACACACACATGAAACTACAAAGAAAAAATGGAAATCATACCTTTCAGGCTTAAAGTCTGCAACTGAAACAGTTTTCCCAGCTCAAAAGGTAGAACTCGTAACTGGTTGTAATTTAAATGGAGCTCCCTGATGATATAAAAATTACAGGAAGTCAGAACACATAGCGATCTTCAACAGCTAAAATAAAAAATATTATTGCTAGGAACATATTACCTAAAAATGACAAAATTATATACTATATTCCAATGTCTTGGGATTCTCAAACTGTATGTAGCTAAAAACAAAAATACTGCCAGAGACAAAAGCTTTTTAGCAGAATATAGGGAAAAAATAAATTACTAAAAAAATGAAACAAGAACAAAATATGATACAAGCTCCAGGTTTTAAAGTTGTTAGATTCACCAACATAAACCATTCTCAATTGGAATACTTATCTTACTACAGACTACAAACACAGTTTGCAATAAGAGCACAGTAGTGCTAGTTTATAGCAGCTGTGCTCCACTTAACTCATTGTCAGTTTGACTAGATTTTGCCATCACTTAGGAGACACATGTCTAGGATATGTCCAGGGCACTTCCAGAGAAGTTAACTGGGGTGGAAGACTCACTCTCAACATGGGTATTACCACCCAACAGGCTGGGGGTCCAGCCGGAATAAAAAGGAAAAAAGGAGGAAGTAAGCACGCCCCCACATCTCTGCTTTCTGACTATGATGAGTGGGACAGGTAGGCAGCTTTGTGTTTCTGCCACCAGGCCTTCCCCACAACGATGGGTTCTATCCCCTCAAGCCATGAATCAAAATAATTTCTTATGTAAGTTGTTTCTTGTCAGGTATTTGGTCACAGCAACAAATATAAGGAGCTAAAACAACCCGCCATGAGAACTGTTAAAAGAGCCAAAGTGACAAATGTAGTGTCAATTCAAGAGCTTAATGACTGCTGTACAATGAACTTTGTTAGTAATTCTCCAAATTTACTAGAGTTTCAGTTTAGAAATAACAGCTGTATTAACAAATGATTATTCTTTATCCAATTTTAAATTTTATTTATTTTCTATTTTTTTTAATGTATGAGTGTATTGCCTGCATGTATACAAGTACACTCATGTCCCCTAATGCCTGTGGAAGACAAAAGAAGGCATTGGATCCCCTTTAACTGGAGTTACTGATGGTAGTTAGCCACCCTGTGGGTATTGGGAATGAAACCTGGGTCATCTGCAAGAGCAGCCAGTGTTCTAAAGCACTGAAACATCTCTCTAGCCCCTAACAAATAATCATTTTAACGGGTTTTCTCTCATAACCACAATATAAATATCATAGGACTTCTTTATGAAGGAAAAAACCAACCCAATACTGAACTAAGACACTGTCAATTTCCTATACTGTTTTATTAATTAAATTTCAGATGAGAACTATTTCTACGACCTGTTTCTAGATAGTTCCAAATAACTGGCTATTTATTTCCAAATACATTATATGGGAAAGTGGTTTTATAAGTCAGTCTATTTCAGAGGTTTAAAAATAATCATAGTGTGGGCTGGAGAGATGGCTCAGCAGTTAAGAACACTGGTTGTTCTTGCAGAAGACCTGGGTTCGAATCCCAGCACCCACATGGCAGCTAAGAACCATCTGTAACTCCAGTTCCAGGGGATCCAACAGCCTCTTCTGTCCTCTAAGGGCATTGCATGACACGGGTGCACTTATCTACATGCAGACAATATATGCATACACACAAAAAAATAATAATAAAATATTAAAAAAAATAATCATAGCGTATACTCAATAATTAAACTAAGGAAAATGTTCAAAGGCTAGACTGGAAGCAATAAAGGCAAAGACACTTCTACAAAGCTGTTTTTCCTCTTTTGACAGCAGTAGAAAAGCCACTACAGTGCTAAGTCAGGTAAACTGAGATTAATACAACAACTGGATTGGGCTTTGTATTTATATAGCTTTGATCTACCCTGTAAGAAAAAGAAAAAAATCCAGCAATTACCATTTACTAAAACATAATAAACGCCAAATCACTAGAGTTTTCTCATTATTTCAGATATCATGAACTTCTGATTAAGAAGCTTGTCCAAGATCACACAATCTGTAAATGGTAAAGTCAACCAGGTGTGGTGGTGCACGCCTTTAATCCCAGCACTTGGGAGGCAGAGGCAGGTGGATCTCTGTGAGTTCAAGGCTAGCCTGGTCTACACAGCAAGTTCCAGGACAGCTGGGGGAGACCCTGTCTTAAAGAAAAGACCAAAAAAGACCCCCCCCAAAAAAAAAAGTAAAGTCAAGATTGCCAAGTGAACTGGGTGTCATTACAGACTCTGCACATCATACTACAGACTTCCAAGTATAACAACTAATTCTGACTTATTCATGCACAGACTTTATAAAAGCCCTGGGAGGGGAGAAATGTCTCACCAACTGGCAATAATGTCCTAGGCTCAGTGTTATTAAGGATGGACGGTGTCAAATGTCTGCCACAGTAAGTATGTGGAGTAATAAATACTGTGCCTTACAGGTGTTTACCTCCACTTTGTCTAAAAATTTCAGCTCAAAAATACATTACACAAAATACAGTGATATAAAACTAAGCAGCAGATCTACTTCATTTATTATTTCACAATTAATTCTCCCCAAAATCTTTCAATAAAAGATAGTTACGTTTACTTTGTTCAAATAGCAAATAAATAGTTTTGCTTCCTAATGAAACATGTTGCATTTTGTTTCAGGGGTACAGTTATTACTAAATGAATCTGTATACCTGAGTGATACCATGTTTCCGAGTTCTGCCGGTAAACTCTGGATTTGATTATGGGACAGGTCCAGATATACCAGATTGTGAAGCTTGGCAATGTCTGAAGGAATACAGGACAGGGAATTGTCACTCAGATGCAAAGCTGTCAAGTGAGTTAGTGACCACAAAGATGAGCTTAAGCTTCTTACTTTTCCTGTAAGACAAAAAACAGGGGAAGGATTATATAGTGCTGTCTATGTCCTAATGTATTAAATAAATTTAAATGTCTATGTATTAAATAAAACTCAGATGCTTTGATTAGGTGCTCCAAATTTTATTTTTAAAAGTCTACAGGGCATGGTGGCGCACACCTTTAATTCCAGCACTCACTTGGGAGGCAGAGACAGGAGGATCTCTAGGAGATCCAGGTCAGCCTGAACTACATAGCAAGTTTCAGGCCAGTTGGGGCTACAGGAAGACCCTGTCTCAAAGCAAACAAACGACAACAACAAAAAAAACACAACAAAAAAGTTCAAGAACACTTAACGCAAATTTTATTTATTCTTTAACAATTCATTGCTAGCACTGTATTATAATTTTCTAATTAGCAACTACAACAAAAAATTTACAGAAGTGTCAATTCTTAAGACTATTTTTAAGAACACAATGGGAAAGAATTTATCCTTTAAATGGCCTCAGATATAAAGACATGATTAAGTTTTAGCAATGATAAATCCGGCATTTATACACTATGAATGATTTGAATTTAAGCAAAGCAAAATAAAAATACTAGTGCCGGGGCTGGAGAGATGGCTCAGCAGTTAAGAACACTCACTGTTCTTGCAGAAGACCCAGGTTTGAATCCCAGCACCCACATGGCAGCTAACAACTGTCCCTAACACCAGATCCAGGGGATCCGACAGCCTCTTCTGTCCTCCGTGGGCATTGCATGACATGGGTGCACTTACCTACGTGCAAGCATAACACTCATACACATAAAAATAATAAATAAAATATTTTTTAAAATACTACTGTCACAGAAGCTATTCATTCTATACATCACAAAGCAGAAATTTTGACTTGGGGTGGGGGGGGAAGCCAAAGGGAAACTACAAAATAGTCTTATATTCTCAGATTAGTTGAGATTAAGACTCAATTATTCAAATGATAACTCCCTCATGTAAGTAAATAAAATCTATATAATTCATGCACAAGTAAAAATACTTGTTCAGAAACATTTCAGGCATTATAACTATGTGATCAAGCAACAGACACAGGATTCAATAACTAAAAATAGAACATCTTTCAATGCAGCATTAAATCTGTACTTTGGGATTTCTTGAGTAAGAGGTTAATAGTTTCTATAATCCATCTAATAACTTTCTCCATAATCTCCTTAATGGTTCAGGAGCTAATCTGAGAATGAAAGCAGATGATAATGGAAATATATAGCCTTTGAGAAAAAGCAATCTTATAACTTTTAATCAAGATGGAGTCACAAGGACTAAAATTGTTATCCATACACCTGCAAAATATACATCAGACACTAACCAGGGTGTTATAATTACCCCTGAGGAATAGGAAACAAATAAGGTAGGCTCTATAATTGTCTCAGTTGACTTCCTGGACAGCATTTGCAAAAAGCAGAGCAGGGAGAGCAATCCCAGTTTGAGCAGAGTAACTTCCCAAATTCTAGAGACAAGTTCAGGGGCACCAAGGTTAGAATTCAAGGCACAGTATTAGAAAGTTGATAGGAAGAAGGTTCCCCTCAAGCACTGTGAAAAACTGCCTGACATGGAGAGGGAAACATCCAAAAAGCCAAGGCTAGACTGTGCTCCCAACTGTTGATGGGGAAAAAAACATCTCAACTCCGAAGGTACGGGACCTTATCAAGTACAAATTCCACCCTGGACTAATGGCTGCTCTGGCCTCACTTAGGAAAGTTTAAGATCAAGCCTCAAAAGATTCAAATGCTTTCTAGTAACTTCACTGCACCCCAAAACAATGCCCAAGACTAGCCAGAAGAATATTCAAATATATATATAACCTAATAAAGAAAAGCTCTCAGTATCTGGCACTCAACCAAAAAGCTACCAAGCATGTAAATAAATAGGAAAGTAAAATCCATTATGGGGAGAAAAATCAATCAAAACAAGTCAAGGACGGTAACAACAATGAAGCAAGCAGACATGAAAAGTTTCAGCTACTGAGCTAAAAAAAGACTAGCCCTGTGGAAATGGAGATGATAGCCCAACACCCACACTCAACTTCTGAAGATAAATCAAGTTCCAGAATGAAGAAAGAAAAAAAAGACGAGATGAGATTAACAGTAGATTTGCCTCTGCAGAAAATTACTGTATTTGAAGGCTGAGCAAGAAAACCAATCTAAGTATAAAAGACAAAACACTGAAAAACATGCAAAGTGTATCAGTAACATCTGGTGCAACTTTTAACAGCTGAATAGGTTATGTAATTGGAGACCCCCCAAACAGGGATCAAGTGGAGACAGAACAAATATTTTAAGAAAAAAAAAAGAGAGGCCAACTGGATCACTACATAAAAGAGTGAAGCTGAGCCCTTACTTCACACCTTAACTAAAAATCATAATTTGGGAGTGCAGTTCAATTACAGGACGCTTGTCAAGCATGTGTAAGGCCTGGGTTTAATGGCCAGCACTGCAAAATGAACAACCAAAACAAAACAAAGCACATACTCAAGTTGGAATGGCCTTGTATTAGGCGATGGTTAAATGATGACAAACAAAAGAAAAATTAGACAAACCACTTCATTAAAATTAACCTTTTAATCAGGAATGGTGGCACCTGCCTTTAAGCAGCACTTGAGAGCCAGGCAACCTCTGTGAGCCTGAGACCAGCCTAGTCTATAGAGCCAGTGTCAGGCCAAGTGGGGCTACAGGGAGATGCTGTCTCAAAAACAAACAAAAAAAACAAAAGGAGTTGGAGAGATGGCTCAGTAGTTAGAGCACTGGCTGCTCTTACAGAGGACCTGGGTTCAGTTCCCAACACCCACATGGTAGCTAACAGCCATCTTCCATAACTCCAGTTCCAGGGGATCCAATGTTCTCCTCTGGTCTCCACAGGTACACTCACATACATGCAGGCAAAACACTCGTACACATAAAATTTAGAAAATATTAAAACAAAAACCTTTTGTGCTTTAAAGGGTATCATAAGTAAATAGACAACCCACAGAATATATGCAAATCATAAATCCGCTAGTTCATATATACTCAGAATAAAGAACTCTTAGTATAAAAACTCAATTTTAAAATGGACAAAAGAGGGGTTGGGGAGATAGGTCAAGGGATAAAAGCACTTATAGATCAAGGACGAGGGCCTAAGTTTGAATTCCCAGAACCTACATTAAAAACTGGGGGCTGGAGAGATGGCTCAGCAGTTAAGAGCACTGGCCGCTCTTTCAAAGAACCCAGGTTCAGTTTCCAGCACCCACAAGGTGGCTAACAACAGGCTATAACTCCAGTTCCAGGGGATCTGAGGCCCTCTTCGGGCCTTTGGGCATTGTATGACATAGGTACACTTACATGCACGTAGGCAAAACACTCATACACATAAAAACTGGACATGTGCTGGGCTGTGTGATCAAGGACAGCCTGGGATGATCTACATAGCAAGTTCTACATAGTTAGACCCTATATCAACTGGACACACAGCATGAACATCTACAGCCCCAGCACTCCCAAGGGAGATGGGAGGCCAAGAATCCCCAGGAGCTCTTGCAATCTTGCAGGCCCAGCATACACAGCAGAAAAACAACACAGACCCTACCTCAAAGTGAAAAGCAGGACCAACAACACAGAGTTGTCTCCCAACCTTCCACATCTGCATTCACAAAAATGAGTGCGTGCACAAAATTTAAAAAATAAAATAAGCAAAAGATCTGGGTACAACCAGAGTGGTAGTGCATGCCTATAATTCCAACACTCAGGCTAAGGCAGGAAGACCAAAAGTCTGAGGCCAGCTTGGGCTATACAGTGAATTTAGGCAAGCCAAGGTACATAGTGAGGCCCCATCTCAAAAAACTAAAACTAAAAATCAAATATATATTTCCCCTAAGAAAATATACCTCAAAAAAACTAAACACAGAGTTAACACACGAGCTGGCAGTTCACTCCTAGGTGTATACTCCAGAGAAATAAACACACATATCCGCAGAAAAACTGACATGTAAATAAATGTTCATTGAAGAATTGTTTTAGGACTTAAAAATGGAAACAATCCAAATTTCTATCAGTTAATGAATGGATAAATAAAATATGGTATGTCCATACAATAGATTACATGCAAAACAAATACATACTAGAATATGGATCCACCTTGAAAATATTCTTAGCTAAATCAAAGAGCTGGTCCTAAAAGATCACATAGCGTATGAATGCACTTACATGAAATGTAAGAAGATTAATAGTTGGAAAAGAGGCTGAGAAAAACGGAAAATGACTGCTAATAAGTCAAGTTCTTTTCGGGAATAACGGAAGTGTTCTCAAAACTGATTATGGTAAACCTTACACAAGTCTATGACACAAAACTCACTAAATGTGCACTTTTAAGTGAATGAATTGAATGATGTATGAATTGCATTTCAAGCTATTTAACAAGAAAGAGGAAGAAAATGTTCCTTGTTTAAAGAAAACTATAAACCCACTGTGATAGCTAATCTCAACTGTCAGCTTGATGGAATTTAGGGTAACCATGGAAACAATCTCTAGACCTGTCTCTGAAGAATTACCTAGATTAGGTTAACTAAAGGTGGGAAGACAGGCTATAACCCAAACTATTCCATAGGCTGAGGCCCTGGACTGAATACAGAAAGTGAGCTAAGCACCAGCATTCAGTGCCCTCTACTTTCTGACTTTGGAAGCATGTGACCAGCCACCAGTATACTGCTCCCACCATGTGGACGGCAGCCCCTGAAACTCTGAACCAAAAGAAACAAGCTCCTTCCTTAGGAGGCTTCTGCCGGGTCTTTTGTCATATCAAGAGACAAGCAACTAATACACCCACAGACACAAAAAGCCCAGGAAATCTAAACATCCGGGTACAGAAGGGCAGGTGGGAAAAGGTCTTTCTATTTTGTTCTTTGAGACAGAGTATCGAGTATCACTATGTAGCTCTGACTGGCCTGGAACTCAGAGATCCACATGCCTCTGCCTACCAAATGATGGGATTAAAGGCA